GCAGCGCGTCCATGTGCTTAACGGGAAACAGGAAGGAGTGACTCTGGGTTTCTGCCCGGCCCCCCAGGGCTCAGGATCCTATACCGTTATGGGGTGTGCGTGGCTGGGGTGGAGTGAGATGGGGGGGGTCATCTGCTGGTGAAACTGGTTTTCTGAGTCCGCGCATGCATGCTCATTTCTGGTCCGGAGCGCTATGGCTAATGGGTTAATTGCAGGTGTGTGACACTAACTTTTGCACTAGGTTAGGGGCTTTTTTCTTCTCCCCACACTTATCCAAACTTGATCTCAGTCTCCTGAATTTGTTGGGATGAGGAACCCCGAGGATCCTGAGGTTCCGAATGAGCCCCTCTTCCCAGAGAAACCAGGAAAGGCCTGCCTCTGGCAGGAATATGTGGGTTTGGATTTGGGGTGGGGAGTTGTCCCATACTAGCGTTGACGTGACAGGGTCTGCATGTGGGTGGCTGATGGGCTGCACTGGAGCATTGGGGCCCATAAGGATAAAGATTTGTTCGTAGCCTTGTCCCTCAGGACGCGCGGCCCTGACCCCCAGGACCCGGCCCTGACCATTCAGTGACCTGTGCAGACTCTGTTCTAAAGAGTTTCTTGTCTGCCCTGGTGCCTTACACCCCTCCCCTCCCCACCCCCAAGTGAGGCCTCTGGTTGGCTTTGCCCCTGGGAAGCAGGAGTTCCTCTTTCTGTTCTCACTGGCCGGCCAGACTGGTCATTCACTGTGCCTTTCAGCACAATCCCCAGCTGCCTCTTCAGCCTCCCTGCCCCTGGGGGCTTTAGTGTCCTGTGGCAGCACAGGGCTGTCCAGGGGCTGCCCACTGGATCTGAAGGTGCTGGGGTCTCTGTTGACGCAGTCCAGATTAACTGCCGCCAGATTAGGTCTGAGGATCGCTGTTCTCCCTGCCGTCCACCCTCAACTGCCCTGCACCTGGGGGCCTCTACTGGAGCCCTGAGCAAGGACACACTTCTTCTGGGCTCCCTCCTTTGGGTGCATGGCCTGCTGCTGTGACTGCTTGAAAGGAACATTTCCAACATGGAAGGTTTTCCAGGACCCACGTCGTCCACCTCCTGTTTGTAGCCCTTCTGGCTTTCGTGAGAGGCAGGAGCCCGTGGGACCCTCTCGGGGGCCCCCCCTTTCTCTCTCTGCCCCCTTTATATCTTCCTCAAAGCCACAAGAGATAGTGGACCACCCCCACAGTCTCACACTTCTGCTCTCCCAGCTCTCTGGGTCCACAAGCCTCCGTGGAGACCCTCCACTACCTTGGGTCCATGTATGAGGTTTCTGGCGGAGTTAGGGCAAAGGGTGGAGGCTGGGCAGAGCCCTGCTCAAATTCCCCGGTAACTCAATGCCCATGAAATCCCTGCCCCGCTGGCCCCCCTCCAGCCTGTGTTTCCGAAAGTGGTGTCTCTGCCTCTCTGACAGATGTGTGCATCAGAGAAGCAAACCAGATGCACACACACAAGGTCTCTTCATGTGTGCGGGGGCGGGGGTGTCAATTCCGTGAGTGGAAAAGGGCCTGTGTGTGTGACTGTTCTCTCCGGTAGTTGCGCTGGCAAAGCTGGGTCTTCGCCTCGCACCCTCTTCTTGCTCCAGCCTCTGTTTACGCCCCCGCCGCCGGGTTTGCCGGTGCCAAGAAGCTGCCCGGGATGCTTCAGGAGCAGAACTCCTGGACTCCCTGGGGATGTGGAAGCAGGGCGTCTGGAGCCCCAGTTATTCTTTCCTTTCCTCATGGGGGGGGTCAGGCATCAGGACCGGCAGAATGTGGTGCTTTCTCTTGCTGCCAGGCCAGGTGGGGCGATGGGAATAGGGGCGTCTGCTAATGGAACTCCAGGGCCGAAAGGGAGCGAGGGTTGGGGTTCCACAAAGCCTCGATCCAAGGTGATCCAAGGTGCGTCTGCAGTTCCAGACTGCTGACCCCGCTCGCGCCCCTCAAGCGGGAAGGGGTTGATACAGTTGCAACCCCTTGCCCAGGGGTTGATACAGTTGCACTCTCTCGGACCACGCTGTGAAGGTCTCAGCCTCCCTGTAGGCGTTTGCTCAGGGCCCCCATCCACAGCCTCCCTTACCCCGCCAGCCCTCTGAAACCTTAATCCTCAAAATGCTGTCGGCAGGAGAGACTCCCCTTGCCAGTTTCCACTGAGCAGCATGGCTACAGGGACCATTGCCTGGGCTTGTGTGTCCCCTGGAAAAAGTTAGGGTTCAGGAGACAGAGCGGTCAGGTGACTGAGTCAGGTGTAGTCCCCCGTTTCCATCTGGCTAGAGAGGGTCTGCCCTGTCCCTTCTCCACTCAATTTTCTACAAGGTAGGGGTTTTTTTGGTGGGGGGGGCCAGGCGGCCGTAGTCATCAAGTGTATGTATGTGGGTGTGTGGGAAAAGTTTTGTTGTAATTGGATTTAATTTTGTTCATTTCAAAAGCCTTCCATCTCTTTAACTAATTAAATATTTGTTCTGGTTAAATTGGAGGGGGAAAGGGCAATGTTCCCAGGGGTGGCTTGTCCAGCCAAGAATGTGTGTGTGTGTGTGTGTGTGTGTGTGTTGGGGGGAGGGGCAAGGGAGGAGGTGGGGCTGAAGAGCCTTTGTTGTCACCGTTGCCCTCTGATTTCATTCGAGAGTACAGTGATGAGAGGGGGAGGCCGAGGGGGCCCAGAGGGTGAAGTCCTTGAGCTGGAATACTGACCCATGACCATGACCTGGCTGAGAGGGTTTTCACAAGGCCTGCTCTGGTTGGGGG